TCTCTGTTTCTCTCTCTTCTAAACTATTTCTCTCTCTCTCTCTCTAGAAAATGAAAACTATACTGCACTCTCTAGTAACAAAAGAACGTCTCTCTCTCTTACAAAACAATCTCTCTCTCTCTCTAGAAAATGAAAACTATGCTGCACTCTCTCTCTCTAGAAAATGGAAACTATGCTGCACTCTCTCTCTTACAAAACAATTTCTCTCTCTCTCTAGAAAATGAAAACTATACTGCAATCTCCCTATTTAACAAAAGAAAGTTTCACTCTCTATCTCTGTAAAAACAATCAGAATTTTGCTCTCTTTCTCTCTCTAGAATATGAAAAGGACACCAACTTTGGTCTATCTCTTGTTTTCCGCCTAACAGGACTCCACCATCTTTTTCTCTCCGTTCAATATCATTTAGCTTAACAGTAAAAAAAGTCCTAAATAAAAATCCAAGTTTAAAAATATAATTGAATTTCATTACAAAATAAATCATAATCATCCGCCGCACTATGCCTCCTCCGCGTCCCGTCGAACGTGGACCCCCCGATCTTCATACCCTCCACGTGGTCCAATCTAAATCCATTGAACCGCGTAACATTGGCCTCCAGCAATCCGTCCTCAAAGCCCGCTCCACCCAATGGTAGGACCGGTTCACCAGGCCCATAACCAGTAACCGGGCTTCCTGGGCACGAAGAAGCCCGATCCGGTCCGTGTGGAGAGGGGCAGAGAGAGGAGTAAAGAACTCTGCTGTAATGGCAATGAAGCGAGAGAAAGAAGATCGAATGATCCTTGTCAAAAAAGATCGAAGATCAAATGGAACACCTGCAGGTCTAGGTAGAAAGCATAATCTAGAGAGAGAGAAAGATGATCCAAGATCGAATGGAACGCCTGCAAGATAGAGAGAAGATTGAATGGACCGCCTGCAACTCTAGGGAGAAGGCAGAATCTACAGAGAGAGAAAGAAGATGGAATGGAACCCCTGCAAGAGAGAGAAAGAAGATCGAATGGAACACCTGCAAGCAAGAGAAAGAAGATCGAATGGAACGCCTGCAAATCTAGGGAGAAGGCAGAATCTAGAGAGAGAGGGAGAGAGGAGCAAAGATCGGTTGGATGTCTTTTAACTCAACAAACAAAGGAGAAATGGTCGTGAAAATGCCCGCTAGAGAGAGAATGAAAATAGAGAGGAGTCGAGATCGTGAAAATGCCTGTTAGAGAGAAATTAAAAACAGAGTAAAGATCGAGAAATGCCTTTGAGAGAGAGATTAAAAACAGAGGAGTAAAGATCGTGAAACTGCCTGTTAGAGAGAGAGATTAAAAACAAAGAGGAGTAAAGATCATGAAAATGCCTGTTAGAGAAAGAGAGATTGAAAATAGAGGGGAGTAAAGATCGTGAAATTGCCTGCAAGAGAGAGAGATAGCAGGTGTAGATGAATTAAAATGACATTGGAGAGAGATAGAGAGAGCTGACCTGGTGAGGCTTCAATTTCTCCTCTAGTAACTGCACCAAATGCGTGTTTTAGAGAGAGAAAGAGAGTTTCTTGGAGGTTGCAGAGAAGGGCATGGATTGTAAGCAGCAGCGAGAGGCTTGTTGTCGCGAGGGTTTCAAGGGTTTGAATTGGGAAGAGACGCAAGAATTCTGGCTCTCTTCCCTCTTGAATCTTGGGTCTTTCTCTCTCCTCACATTTCCACCGCCCATCTGAGGAACCAGAGCTGTTGGAATGATAACTGTGGTTCCAAGCATAACCAAATAGTGCTGGAAACCGAGTAGAATCGCGTCCGCTGCAAAAAAAACAAAGAGAAGGAACCAAGTGAGAGAAACACCAACAAATGGAGAAATTGAAGAGCAAGAGAGATAAAAACATCGTTTCTCTCTCTAAAAACGGAACTTGCGCCAATAAGGGCAACTGGCAACATAGTGCCAGAACAAAACTAACACCTTACACTACTCTAGGATTAATTAATGAAAACCTACAACATAGGTTAGCAAAACCATCATGAAAAAATATATCTAGTTTAAATAAATTAGACATTCATGTTAACTTCTTCATAATAAATTTAACAGGAATTGAGTGGTTAGCAAAAGACAATGTCACCATCAAAATGACGCAATGCACTGTTATGAGCAGTAGTTTACATAAGATTATTAAAAACGTAAAAAATATGAGCGGAGTTTAGGCAAGGGCGCAAAACCGGTACCTAGGCAAGGGCGCAAAACCCGTACCGATACTCTCTCAGAACTAGTTCAATTTCATTTGATTACCAATTCTAATCGCCCATTCTTGTTTTAGATCGACGGTTTAAAACATTACATGGAAGACTCACCACCAATCTTTAACGAGCGTTCAAATGGAATTAATGATCCCGTTTTTGGGAATAAATGAGGTGAATGAGCCAAATTTCGATTGTCGTAGAATCAATAGATGAAGTTGTATTTCGATTGTCGTTTTTAGTTATGGGGTTTATATATTTTTTGTAATATTTTAATATTTTAATATTGTAATGGATTTTAATTAAATTTTTTATTTTATTATTAAATAAAATTTCTCGAAAATAATACAATGTATATTTCTATTTAAAATTTATTGTAATATAAATTATAAATTTATCAAGTAATTAATTTTTACAAATACAACAAGTTATTAATTTATCTATTTTAATATATTTAACTTAAATATATTTATTACTTATAAATATAGTTAAATTGCTATTTATAAGTTATAAATTATAGCCTATAAATATATACGCAATGATATATATTTATAACTTATAACTTTTAAAATTTAAATTACTTTTTATAACCTATAATTAGAACACTCTTGAAAAGTAGATTAAGAAATCTACCTGACTTAAACAATATAATATAAAAAACTTTTATTTTTCAACTTCAACCCAATCAAAGCTTAAAATTCCTGCACCAATGAGTAACACATGTCCCTTTAAACTCTATAACGAAATAATATATCGAGTTTAAATAAATTCTACATTCATGTTAACTTCTTTGAAATAAATTTGACCTAAGTTCAGTGGGTAGCACAATATAATGGCAATACAAAAAAGACAAATTGCACTACTTTAAGATTATTTTTTTAAAAAAATATATAGTCCTACATGACCACAATAAAGAACTTTGATTTTTTATGTTTTAGGAAATCCAATGCACATGCCCTTTGCAACTCTATAATGAAACAATATGTACAATTCAAATAAATTTTATATTCATATTAAGTTCTTTAAAATAAATTTCACATAAGTTAAGTGACTAGTACAATATAGTGCAACTACAAAAATTATGTAATCCATTGTTCTAACCAGTAATTTACAAATGACTAGTTTAGAATAAATGTGATATTGGGTGAGTGGGTAGTATAACATAGGGTCACTATAAAAATCACGTATTGTAATATTCTAAGTAGTAGTTTACTCAAGATTGATATAAATATCCATATGTTAATTGAAACCTTAGCAAGCAACATAGGGCCACTATACAAATCACATATTGTAATATTCTAAGTAATAGTTTACTCCAGATTGATATAAATACCCACATGTTAATTGAAATACACTGTTAGGAGATTACTTCATAGATGTAGGATGGACACGAGTTACTTTAAATGATCTAGGACTACCTTCATACACAAAAATAGCTTTTAAATAACATAGAACGTAGATCATGATTAAGAAAGAAAAGATGCATTTATAGAGAGAGAAAAAAGATAGAGTGATATTGTAATTGGAAAAAATAGATCTACTTACACAAAGAATTTCGAGGGAGAAAGGGCATGGTTAGATATAAAAGACCTGTATAAGTGATATGCTCTAGATTTTGTTAAAGAGAAAAGACATGGTTAGAAAGTTACTTACTATAGATTAGACACAAATCACATACAAAGCACATGCACTATGCTAAAGTTGTAGCCTAGTGAAAAACTGTACCATATTAATAATTAGGGAAATTATCGCTAATATACCTATATTTTACCATAATCGAAAAAAAAAACCCCAACTTCAAAACCTCACCTACACGCTTTCTCACAATTTTTAACTTTTTTTGGACCAAAATAATCTTCACGATAGTCCTTTTACCGTAAAAAAACATTACGGTAATTTAAATACCATAATAAGTTGAAGGAGTATTACAGTAATTAAAATACCGTAATACCTTTACAGTAATTTAATTACCGTAATAACATTACGGTAATTTAAATACCGTAATAAGTTGAAGGAGTATTACGGTAATTAAAATCAGTGTTCGTAAAATCGGCCAGTCAGAACTGGAAACGGTCGGTTAGACCGGTACCGCTAGGGTGCCAATCCCGGTTTTGGCCAGTTTTACGGTACATGTTGCAACATACGTATTCCAGATAAAAATCCGCTAAAAAATCGGGCGGTTTTTTAATAACCGGTCCGATTAGGCGTTATAACGGGCGATTTGGTGATATAACGGTATAATGAAAATAACGATCGTTATTTGTAGCAGAGCCCATTATTTTGGTAGAACCCGTGATCCACCATTTTTGCAGCCTTTTTTTATGCTTTTTCTTGCCTTTTTTTTTTTTTTTTGGCTCAATTATTGTACTCTACCTTCAAATATTTTATAAATCCATAATATTGAATAAAAACTCTAAGATTAAGTCGTTTTTAGCGATTTTTATATGTGTTTTTTAGTGTTCTTGAGTTTTTTTTATGAAAAATCCGCCAATCTAAGGATTTTGGTGTGGTTTTCCATTTTTTTTGGATAAAAATTAGCGGATTTTAATGATTAATGAGATACCTATCATTCTAGACTCCTTATTTCATTGAAATTGAGAGATTTGGAGCACGATTTTGAGATTGAAGCAAGCAAGGCAAGCTCGAACCCGATTTTTTTTAAAAAAAATTTCTTTATCTTGCAGTATTTTTTAGGATTATTCAGATAATATTTGACTGATATTATTTATTGTATTCAATGAAAGAACGGATTTGAGAACAAAAAAAAATATTTGGAGCTCGATTTTAGGAATTTAGGGTTTCTTGAATAAAAATTGAAGAAATGCATATTTTGTGAATTGTTATCTGAGGTTTAATCCTCATATTCTTTTTTAAAAAAAAATTGAATCAATGGTGTTTACCTGGTTCTAGAGCTTGCACTTGCATTTGATGGTTTTTCCGTGTATTATTGATGAAAATGTGTTTCTATTCTTGTTGTTTGATGGCATCATATTATGTTGTATGTATATGTATTTGCTGATCTTCTAAGAAAAATTTCATGTTCAATTGATGGATTATGTTGTCTGCATATAATTTTTGGTTTTTGTTGTTTTTTGTTGGAGTTTTCATGAAAGGAACCTATTACCAACTGCTATACAAAGGCATTGCCTTCACAGTTGCAAAATCACAGACTGCTAAGTGTTTTCGTTTTTCTATTCGGTAACCTTGTGCTAGACTGCTTATGATAAGTTGAGAATCACAAACTGAAGGAAGTCTCAGTATGTTGACCTCAATACAACTGTTTTCCATCTTTTACATTGTTGTCTATGGCTTGATCCATTGGTTGTAAGAATCTTATTTTCATCATAAAAGCCCACTGAAAAGGCCTAGAACCTTGGTGGATTGTAAATGCAGCAATATCTTTAATTGCAGAAATGCCTGAGGAGTTTTGCTCTCCAATGTACATCTTTATGATGAGATAACGAGTTGTTTGAAGGGAATAGAAAAGCTAGCAACGCCAAATGAGAGTTGAAATAATGCAAAGGCAGCAACATAAATTTGGAAGATTTAG